GCGGAGCGGCTGGTAGTTTCGAACCGCTGACCTTAAGGCTCGGTAACCACTACACTAAAATGTATAAATGCCTGGAAAACAGCAGTGTAGACCCCACTGGGATCTGGTATCAATCCTTCTGATACCTGACGGTGGTGAGTTCCTGGACAGGTCCTCTGACCTTCGTCAGCATCACTGCAATGATTGACCTGTAAAAGACTCCCGCCCCAGCACTTGTCTGTCATTCTGTTAGTTTGTCATGCTGTGGTGACCTGTGATGCTTCTGGAAGCTGTACCATCAGTATTCCAACACCAGCAGGGGCACCCATGGTGGTCAGCTTTCAGAGGAGCATCCAGACTTAACACAGGCCAGGAAGGAGGACCTGGCAGGCCACTGCCGAGAACACTGGCCAGTGACCAACTTACGACGGCCATGGAACCCAGTCTGCTCTGTGGTGCTGGCGGGGAGCCCCCCAGTGTGGGAGGTGCTTAATATGGCTGGGGAGGAGCTGCCTCCTCAAAGCAGAGTCAGCCTTAATGATGTGGATCGAGTCAAGTTTCCAGCATCTGTATTTGCTGATGTGGCACAACTCAGAATGAGAAAAAAGCAGCTGCCAACGTCATTGGAATATGGGATGTGTGAAGTCTGAGCCTAATAAATTTGAAGCTGTCGAAAATGGAATGCATGCTTAAAGATCAGTTTCCTAAGGTCTTAGGGAGCTGGAGAGGTCTGGTCTAGGCCTTGTTGAATCAGGTGGTCATATGATCTGCTGAGCCGGGAATGCAGATTAAAGAGGAAGAGCGTCACATTCATTGTCAAAAAGAACATTTCAGGAATTATCCTGAAGGGGCAACCCCCCGTCCAAGACTGACATTGAAAGGGAATACAGAAGCAGGCATGTAATCAAACATGCAGTCAAGTTGCATTGATAATAACTGGTGATTGGAAGGTGAAAGTTGTAAAGAACAACGTAACAGAAGTACCGTAAGTGGATGCTTTTAGCACAAAAGTGTATCGTCGGACAGTTTAGGAAGCTAGAAGTCCCAACAAATCAGAGCAGTCTATCTGGAAGACTCACACTTTAGGAGGCAGGTTTTTGTCTCTAACGTTTGTGGGACCGGCGTCGCGTGGAGACTTCCATGTGTCTTGGGATCAGCCTTCCCCTGGGTCTAGGAGATCCTCAGCACAGGGACCCTGTTCCACTCCTGGCTCTTTTTTCTCGGTGGTAGTAGGTCCCTCTGATCTCTGCTCCCTTCTCTCTCCTGTTATCTCTTGTAAATAGAAGGTGTTGCAGGTCACACCCCCGGGAAACTCCCTGTAACTTCGGACTAGCATGCACCCTCTCATTGGTTTATCA